ACACAGGCGCGGTCACCTTGTGTTCAGTGGTCCATAGAACAAGGTGCCCCACTCGGGTCTCCTCGGTGGCAGTTAAGCCCTGCAGTTCCCCAGGGAGGAGGTTTGAGGTGGTTTCCTCTCTAAGCTGGTGGGCAGGAGAAAACTGTCTGACTCACTGGATAATAGCCTCAGGGTCACATGGCACTTGAATCACTTGAAACAAAGGAAGTTACTTCTATTTATTAAGCACAAAATATGACTGAAGTTCTCCTACTGGGAAAGGTAGTAAGGAACCAATTACACTAATTTGTACCCCATGCGAGCAGGCATATCATAGTCACTAACAAAAGGCAGTGTGGGCGAGGAAACTTGATGTCAAAACCTGTCCATCTCTAAGAAAGTCAAGCTAATTACATTGCAAAATCATAGAACAAAAAAGGTTTATTTTTTTTCTCACTGTGGAATAGTACAGACGTGAGCCATGTCCCAGATTCCATGTGTACCAAGAGAAATTGTTGGCTTATTCTATACAGCTTTGGGGTTTCATCTGAAATGAACTTACTAATTAATTGGTTCATTCCAAATAATAATACCGTAGTGATTGATGGTGGGAACAGGGGTGGGAGGMATGGGGTCTTCATAATCATGGTTGGGTTCTGTTCTGTCCTTGCCCCAAGTTGCCCTCTCCCTTTTCTTTCCTTTGCTGACCCTGGAAGGATGTTCCCCTCTTGCAGGGTTTCTGRTCCACCCTCTCAGAAACACTGGAATTCGGCATCCCACCCTTGATTTTCCTTCCCCCTGATGGAAAAAGACTCACCTGTAGCCAGACAACCATTCTGCATGGGAGCCCTGCTGGCACARGAGCCCACTGCTTCCATGTGAATTCACACCCTCACCCAGATGCCAGCACCAGGGGTCTCAATCAGATGACCTTTATTTAGCAGACCCCTTTATTGGCTTAAAAATAACTATTTTATTATGTACCATAATTTGGGGGTCAGGAATTCAGGAGGGGTTGGCAAGGTGATTCTGCTCTTCCACAAAGCATCGATGGACATTGTCTGGTGGAGGGATTTAGCCTCCAGGGCTCCGGACAGCTTCGATTGTGTGTCTCAGGCTTTGGCCTGAGATTGGGAACCCGATTGCCTACACAGGATCTGTGTATCATCATCATGAGGGACCCGCACAGCGGCTTTGGGTTCCTTATGTGATGCCTCAGAACCCCAAGAGCAGGAGTTGCAGAGAAGGAGCAGGAGCCCCAGATCTTATGGTCCTACTAAAGTCCCATCCTGTCACTTCCTTCATAACCTGTTGGCCACAAACCTGCCCGGAGTCAAGCGCAGAGGCAGCAGCACTACTTCTAGATGGGAGGGGTGTGGGAGAATGTGTGTCCCTAGTTTAAAACCGTGGGGGTCTTCATCTTCTCTTAATCATCCTGCTTGGGCAGGGAGGAGGACTTTGATCCTGGCTTTTCCAGAGGGCGTTTTTAAGCCCAGGCTCCTAACATCTGATGATGGAGGAATTTAAAGGGAATCACATGTTTTGGTAGAGGCCCAGATAACATCTAAAGTTACACTGTAGAGAGGAAGAGAGAGATTAAGTGTTTTGGGCTCCTCGCTGTGAGGCCTTGTGTAATACCCAGTCGATTCCAAATGCCTCTACAGAATGCAGGTCCAGGATGTCTGGGAAGGCCTTTTGCAACCTTTTCCTTGGATGCCTGAAGTGTAAATTCTCCCACAGCATCCCATATATGTCTTTGTCTTAGTTCTTCTTACCCGTGTTAGGATAAGCTCACCAGAGAAAACCAGTTTGTACCCTCTGCATTACACATGATGTCTGAGATACAGAAGACCTGGAATAAATATATTCATATTGACTAATAACTTGGAGAAGGTGGTAAAGAGAAGATGAGACTCACTACCTCATAACAGTAAGTTTACAATTGGCCATGAAAACTCTGACTCTTCTTTTTATTTCTATTAGGTTGTTGGCTACAAGACCTATTGTATTATAAGGTGTGATATTTAAAACCTTAACAACTCCTCGGTGATCCAACTAGATCACTCAGATTATTGAAAGATCTGAGGCAATAACATCTTCACACCCAGCATTACTAACAGCTTTGTTTATTATTTAGTTGATTACTTCATTTTTATAATCATACAGTAATTCTCTTTCAAACAACACTGTTATACTTGAAGATGGTCACATTATATTCTTTCCTCCTTCTACAGTAGTAAAGTGTTTCTTTCCACACTTGCTTTTTTTTTAATAGAACAATTGAATATCAAGAAATGCAGTTAACTAAAAATAGCAATGGACCAAACTCCATGGAAAACAATTGCACACTCCATTCAAGATCTATGCTATTACAGTGGTTCATGTACATTAGGGAGGACACAGCAGAGATCTCAAAGGGACATGGAGCTGGGAGTGTCACGGGCAGAGGGACTCCATGAGAGCTGTTGGCACCTTGGAAACTTGAGGTMCAATACTGGCTCGGTACCGTCACCCCTTCTAGCCAGGATGGGTGCCTCCGGGCAAGCACTGAGGAACACTGGCAAGGTGTGGTCTGGTGTCCTCCCAGGGAGAAGCCTCCCGTTGTGTGTATGCCCTTCCTAAGACAGCCCACATCCCATCTGTGTTGGCCTTTTAAACTTGAAAGTAAATTGGACCCAGTCACAGGGGTGTGTGGACAGCRTGTGTGGGTGTGTGTGGGTGTGTGTGGGTGTGCATGGGGCGGGGTGAAAAGAATCCTGGGGAAGGGGAAAGGAGGAAGGCCAGAAAACRCAAAGGGAGGGGACCAAAAAAAATAATAATAATAAAACAGCAAAGGGAGGGGACAAAGGAAAAGGGGACAAAAAGGAGGTGGAGGGACAGGGTTGAGCAGGGAACAAGGATGAAGGAGAGAGGAAGGTAGTGTGCCTTTACAAAATAAAAACAGGAAGGGGTAACAGAGGGTGGCCTAGTGCCACTCCTCGCCTCCCTCCCTGCCGTCAGCTCCTGTCTCCCCACTGCTGGGGAGGAAGGTGCCCGTGGCCTCTCCGTCCTGCTACTCCAAGTCAAGATGCCRTCTTCTGCACAGACTTGAACAGAAGGATGGCCCCGGCCCGTGGCATCCTCTCCCGTGGCAGTGGTGGACAATTGCTTTGGAGGCACTTTACCTGGGGGCCCTCATCCACCCAGGTGGGCAGCCATGTTCTCTGCTCTGGAAGGAGGGGCGTCTCTGAGGCCCTGGCGTTAGGAAGAATGACATACATCATTCACGGTTTCTCTGGAAAGAAGAGGAGAGCGATGGAGGCCAGTCTGGCCCTTCGGCCCCATCCTAGCTGTTCCCATCACTGGTGAGAGGCATGGGCTACAGAGCTGCGGGGTCAAAGGTGCTTGCTCCACGGCTCCTCCCTGTCTCCCTGTTCCACTGCACGGTGGCCACATCTGTGCCATGGTGCTTGGGAAAGGTGTAGCCCTCTGGGGAGGTCCCCGTGGAGCTCAGAGCTGGGACGGCTGAATGCTTTGAGCAACACTCCTGAGCGGTAAGGCTCAGGGGCTGCTAGACCCGGTGCCTTGGAGTCCAACGGTCTGAACTCACACTGTGGCTCAGCACTCAGCGCTCGAAGGACAGGGACAAGCCGCATCGCCTCTCTGCCTCGGTTTCCTCTTCACTGAGACATTGACAAGAATAGCACTTTCCCCAGGGGGTTGTTGTAGGATTCAAGGGGTCCTGCACCTCCTTTCTGACCTCCATGGTGGGTTTCCACATAAGGCGTCCCAGACAAAGCAAGGSTGGCTGAAAGTGASGTGTGGGCATTTAAGGCCATTGATGGCCKACATGGCCCCGGGGGCTTGTTTCTGGAGGGCTGGCTTCCCCTCAGCTGGGCCTCTGTGCAATGCTCAGGCAGTGGGTRGGGCTGTGGCTCAGCACTGATTGGCTGCACAGAGACTCTGCTATGCCAGCAGCCAGAAGGTGGGGACCACCGCGGCATCCTCCGCTGATGGTCCTCAGGGAAACCACTGGCAAAACTAGCAACTCAGCAAGTTTAGCAAGGGGAGAGAGAGGACAGACCTTTCTGGAGATCCATAATAGCTCTAATTCACCGAAACACTGACATGGACGTGCCAACCCCTCTTGAACCCAGCCTCACCTGCCGGGTGAGGGGCAGGCGCTGCGAACCCAGGCGCTGGGGTGCACGTTAGTGGTCTGAAGAGGTTTGTTTGTTTGTTTAAATGCTGCTTACTTCAGTAGGTGGTGAACTGCCAGCTAGTCTCCCAGGGAGACGTCTCTGAAGGTGCACTTGGCAGTGACATCTAATTGCCACTTAGGAGATTTCACAGGGGCATCTTGTCACTGCTGAAAGATAACGGTGTTCAGAGGGCACAGCAGAGCCCCATTGAGGGGGGTTTAATTCTAGTCCTGGCTTAAAATGGGAGACCTAGAAACCCAGGAGGCCCACTGGGCTATCACGGCGGTGAGGTGTCACCTTTGAGGGGTGGAGACAGCCGTCGGAAGGCCTGGAGGAAACCGCGATGCACACACAAGGGCCAGTCCCCCAGTTTGCTTTGCGTCTTCCTCTGTGAGCAGGGCTGGGGCTCCCAGAGCAAGACTCCTCCCAAGGAAGGCCTGAGGTCAGGCCCGTGCAGGCCTAGCTCTCCAGCTCCGCCTCTGTCCCCAGTTGCAATGGACTCAGGAACTCAGTAAGAGCAGGTGCCTCGGCCAGGTGGAACCTTTGTGGGAGTATGACAGAACTCTTGAGCATTTGGACTGGACTCTTGAGGGTTAAAAAAAAAAAAGGATGAAACAAATTAACACCAAAACAAGTCCCAAAGTAACCCTCTAAGAAAAAAATGGTGCTGCCTGAAGCCACTGCCTGTCGGGCTTACTCATGGTGCCGATGGAGCGCGTCAGACTGAAGAAGTTTGCAAGGAGAAAGGACCCCTTCCTCCCTGGGGTAGGTGTTCTCTCTGGAGCTTTCAATGTTCCATTAAAAAATGATAAAAACCCACAAACCAACCCAGGTGTCCCCCTCCGCTCTCCTGCCCCGGTTTGGCAGCCACTCGCTGGCCCCGTGCTGTCAGATGTCTTTGCTGTCCCCGTAGTCGTTGTAGGGGATGCTCAGGGTCTGCTCCTCGCAGGTCTTCCGGAGGTCGCGGCTGAGCTCGGACCAGTCGAGCCCGTAGGGCCTGATCTCGCTGTAGCGGCAGCCCAGGTACTGGAGCGCGCGGCGGCGCAAGCCTATCTTGGGCTCCTGAAGGAGTCCGTCGCACCAGCTGCTGAGGTCTCCAAGYTGGGAGAGGATGAGGCCAGCTTTCCTGTGGACGGAGCGTGGGGGATACTTAGGTTAGAAAGAAAGAAAGGCAGGCAGGACAGGGAGTCACCATTAGTGTGAGACTCCAAACTTGAAGAGGGCAGAGGCTGATGGGCTTTGCGGACTGTTCTACCTTTGGCACTTGTAACAGCAGATCCAGGGAATGAACGAGAGAATGAAGGGCTGACTGTGCACAGTGGGGCAGGCACCAAGAGAAAGGAGAGAAAATGTAATAAGAAAAAATAAACAAGAGAAAAAAAAAAAGAAACCCTAGTATTTTAGTGGGAACGTACACCTTTTAGAATCATGGGGACGGCAGTCTTGGAAGACAAATCAAATCGATTTTCTTTAAAGCCGTTAATTCATCATCAACTGATGACAAGTGCTGTGCTTTGCTGAATATGTCCCCTTTCAAGGCTCTGTCTGAGCTGGTGAAAGCASCCAGTAGAGTGCACTGAGGGGACTTTCAAATGTGACCATTGGTGTCCGCATTGAGGTAATGATGGCACAGTGAGGTCCAGGACCGCTGTGCCCTCAGCTCACACTGACATGGGGTCCGTCTTTGGGCATGAACACTGTCAGTGGCACATGTCACCTGGCTAACCTCCAGGCAAGCTCATGGTCCATACCCTCATCTCCCCCAGGAGGCATGAGGCCACCGTCAATACCAGTAAGCCCCAGTCAAAAGAGTGGGAAAGAAGGGCGTGGAGAGCAGAGGGGGGAGTGGGCTGCCTCAGCTCACACACCCTGGAAAGCAGTGATCCCCTGGGTCAGGATACAGAGTGAGAGCCCCCAGCCTAGAGCTGGGGAAACAGCTCACCCCTGCAGCCCCTTCTTCCTGGGACACCCTGCTGTCAGAGATCAGGCTGCCTGAGAGCTGGTCCTCAGGCCTCCCTGGCTCTCACTCAACACTTAGGATGAGTGCAGAAGGATTCCCTCACCTATTATTATTATTATTATTATTATTATTAATTATTCAAAGACCTAAGTGACCTGAAGCTCATGAAGGAAGATTCTCTTATTTGATCAGGCTCATGGGAGGCTGCCCGGTGCTCTTCTGGAACACCCAACCAACAATGCGCCTTGCAATGTTTACTGACTGCCGGGCTCATGCAGAGAAACTTCCCTTTTCTAGTTTAATCAACAATTCCTCCCAGAAGCTGGAAGTTTTCTGCACCCCATTTAGAATGAACTCTCAAAGGGCAATAACTATGCTCCTTTCATTCCTCTTCTTCTGTCCTGGCCGTGAGCGTCCCCAAGGGGCGGTCTCCGTGCTTTCCTAAGAGGCCACACTGAAGCAAGGCGGGGTGATGCTGGAGGGAAGGTGTGGAGCTCGGCAGCAAAGTCAAGGGGCCAAGAGTGGCGGGGAGTCTCTGCAGGGAAGGGCACATTTCCTGACTCCAGTGGCAGGTCAGCGCCAATCAAACAACACTCCCCCGCCTAAACAGCTTCTCAGTCTGAGGATCTACACTCTATCATCAATTTCTGCTGCTTGGCCAAGAAGATTTTCCGAAAGTTGTCAGCAGTGAGGACATTGGTGGCCCTTCCTCTTAATCCATCCTACTGTATGGCAGTCATTGCTAACAAATTCCTGGGGGGGTTGAAGAACAGGAGCAGAGGAAGAGGGAGAGCAGCCTCTGAAACACCTTCAGGAAGCATGCGGGAGGCATCCTGCCCCCCCMCACACACACTCCAAAGGCAAACTGAAGTGCCCCATGGAGCCTTCGTAGAGACTGTCACGGCTCACATTCTGGTTTTTCAATAAAAATGACTCTGGGTCTGCCCTTGACCATCTCAGACCCTGGAGCCTTCTTTCTTGGAAACAGCACAACTCTCCGAGTATTTTCACCCTTAGCTCAATCTGGAGGCCTCCGCCAGGGAAGCCTTTCTCCTGCTCACGGGAAGTCTGTACCCACAGGCCCATTTTCTCAGCTAGCCCCAGAGTGGGTTGATGTAGCTGAAGGCAGAGGACTTCCCTCTCCTTTGGTCCTCCCCGAGATCCCTGAGGAAATCTGAGAGGAAAAACTTTATTTTTCTATGGGCTAATGAAACAACACAATGTCTTCTAACATCTTTTTTCTTCTGTAAAAGACCAGTATTACACAGGAAAGAGGCCCCTGGGAGGAGAGAGAACAGTCAGTAGCCAGCTTGATCTTACAGTGAGACCCACATTTCTTCCCCTGCTCACTTTCTTTATTAACCAATTTTCCTTCTAACTCTTGAGTTACAAAAGAGAAATTTACAAAGACTCCAAATGCCCTTAGAAATCAAGATGAAATATGCAATGTTAGTACTATTCAAATTGTGGCATTTATTCTCCCTAACCTAGAAYTGTGTATGTACTCAATAAATGTCAGAAGAAAGGAGGGCAGAGGGGAGCAGCCTGGGGCCAGGGGATGCTGGTAAGCCCTGTGCCATTGCAACTTAGGGCAAAATAAGGTCAAGGAGGGCCTTTAACAACTCTCATGTTGCTTTCCAAGAGAATGCGGAATTTAACTCAAAATAGGTCTGAACTATGCAAATAACATATGTAAAGTTTGTGCAATAAATATTTTTGGATAAACTTCTTGATAAATTCCTAATTTCCTTTCCCAAGACTGAGCTTTGGGCTCCTACAGTTTTGGCATTTGGAATTAAGCATCGGCATGATACAGAGGGCAAAGCAGGTCAGGAGCAAAGGGTTTCCAAGTTCAGGAAATGCATTCATGACTTGACTGCTTAAAGAGCTTTACAAACTAATCTGCATGACCAAGGCCATCAGAAAGCAGAGGACTTATTTCTCTGAGCACCTAAGCTCATGCAGGAAATCTCAGCAACAGTATTATGGAGCTAGAAGTACAAAAATTCGAAAGAAACTTTAAAAGAGACAGTGCAGTCCATTGGTTACCTGGGGCCTAACTCATCCTCACACCGCCAGGTGAATTCTCCAAAACTCTCATAGTGCTGGTTATAGTGGTAGAGAACTCGATGTAAAGTGGGGGAACCCAGATCCAGGAGGGTGTTGTAGGCAGTCTGTTGCTCTTTCCCGCTGGTATAGCCATTGAAGAGATTGTAGATCTTATCTGCTATTTCTGAGGAGGGAAGAAAAAGCAAAGGAAACATGCATCCTTTAATGAGGGTCTGAGACATTTCAACATTATGCAAGCTTCAGACTTGCACAAACCTAGAGCGTATGGCTTACTGCACACCTAGGCTTTGTGCTCCATGCGGACTACAGGTTCCCAGGTCATGATGCACGAAACAAGAAGAGATTAAGGCGCAAGAGAAAGGGTGTGTCAGGGGACGTGGTGAACAAGAGATGTATGCAGCTATAGTTGGCGCAACCCCTCTACAAGTGGGAGTACTCTAAAATAATGACAAAAATAGCATATAGTAAATATACAAATCAATAACATAGCCATCTATTGCCACCATCTAGTGTTACGTTCTGCACATGAGTGCATGTGCAAGACTTTTGTATGACTGGCAATGTAGCTGATTTGTTTGTACCAGCGTCACCACAAACACACAAGAATGCATTCTGCTACAGCATCATGATGCCACAACGTCACTATGTGAAGACAGGAATTTTTCAGCTCCATTATAATCTTATGGGACCACTGCTATATAAGTCACATGTCCAGCATTGACCAAAACAGAGTTCCACAGCATGTAACTATCAATAAGGTTTCACATATTTAATATATATGCACATGTATGTATATGCATGCATATGTGTCTACATATGCACACGTTCGTGTGTGTGTGTGTGTGTATGTGTGTGTGTGTGTGTGTGTGTGTGTGTGATGTTAAAGAATACCCAACCTAAAGGCTGGAGAAAATGGTTTGTATGATTCAGTTTGCCTCTGCCCCACCAACCTTCAGTTTTATCTTTTTTAAGATTAAAGTGTTCAACTAGGATACCTCTAAGGTCGAGTTCAGTCACAATACTCTGTCTCTACCCAGGTTTCCTAAAGATATGTAACCTGAGGCAAAAACTTGAATATTCACACTTGATTGGCAGGTGCAATCCCAGGGAAGCAGGAGGAAAGAGAAAGAGAAATGAGGCAAGAAACAGGGACAGGAGTACACAAGGTGCTCCGAGGGACTGGCCACGTCCTCCTGAGAAGCTGGATGCTGCATTTTGTCTGGACCACTGGATCCCTAGTGCTCTCTCCAGAGGGAGAAAGAAAGAAAGGAAGACCAGCTCCCGTCCAAGACCGGTCCAAGTTCGCTCACTGAGGATTACAGCCCTGCATTTCTAGGTTGMACGTGCCTGGGTACCAGTGGTCTGCAAAAGTGACAGTGGCCCAAGCCGCCAGTGGCCTTTGCTCAGGGAGGAAGTGAAGCACCAACAGGTCACTGGTGAGCAGCGTGGACGCTGGGAAGCAGTACTGTGGAGACAGCACCTCAGCCAGAGCCCCCTAGGGCAGACAGAAGGCGGCACGCAGACCTGCGGCCATGCAGACGTGGCCTCTAGAACACTCTGCAGCTCCACATGAGCCCTCTTTCAGTGCGATTTATCTTTCCAGTATTTTGGCCTCAAAGAGGCCTGAGTTTGGTGATGTGGCAGAGGGACCATGATTCAGTTCAATGTTTCCTTCTGCAGCTCACAGCACTGCACCATACACGCCTTCTCATTAAAGCTGCAGAGAGGAGACGCACTGACTTGGTCTTCCCCGACGGCCGGGAGCAGAGCTGGGGAAGCAAGGCTTGTCTCAACCCGGCGTTGACTCTAGGGATGAAGAAAAACGTCCCCGGGAGCCAAAGCCTTCACCCCCCTGAGGCTCCATGAGAGGAAGGCACAGCAGCCCGCTCCGTGCCACAGCCCCGCATGGCTGCAGGGCTCCTGGCAATGGCAGCTSCACCCAGGAGTGTCCTGGGTGCGGGGAGTGAACACACGTTGACCTCCATGATATATGCCATCATCTGAAATAGGAGATATTTCACTCTCTGRTCCTGTGCAGCTGCTGTCTGGCTTGTCTATCTTGTCCATGTCTGTGAGGACAGAGCCAGTTCGGAACTTCTTGGTGCCCCAGGTAGCTAGCACAGGGCCAGAAAATACAGTGAATCAAAAATGTCAGCTAAGTTCATGGAACTCATGACCTTGGGTGCAGTATGAGTCCACTTCAGGAGCAGGCTTCTCGGGCAGGTTATGTCACCCCTTTGGCAACATAACTTAAAGCCGACACATTTCGCTGCACTAAAAATAATTTTGCATCAGAAATCATGTAGATTTTCAGGTTGTTAAAAATGGGATCAAGACATAAAGTGGACAGTGATCTAGAAGATGATGATCTGTRGTGTCTCTGGTTATTTATTAAAGACCTGTGAGTGCCAAGAACTTTCCATACATGAATTTCAATTCTCACCTTCCTGCAGATGGATTTAAATGTCCCTGTTTTATAAATAAGGAGATTCAGAAAGGCCCAGTTACCTGCCCAAGGTCACACAGCCAATTTAGGCTGGAGTTAAGGTTCTCCAGTGTGTCTATCTGCCATTGCTATTTTACACTGACACTGGGTAGTGGGTTGTGTGTAGCCAGTTTAAGGCACAGGAGGCYCAGTCTTGGGGTGAGGAATCTGGAGTGATTGTCTCTGGTAGTGGACGTGGTTCTGATTGGACCTAGGTGTAAAGTCAGCGGATCTGAGATAGAAGGAAGCCGGGGGCTGTTCTAAGAGCTACTCAGGGGGAGACAGCAGTGCGGCTCAGACAGGAATGACCAGGGCAGGGAAAACGGGGTCAGACAGCAGCTTGGCCGGGGAGGTCGGGCGCCCCCCTACCCTGCTCTGATGCCACTGTGTTAGTTCTTCCAAGGGGAAACGGCCCAACCCCAGGCTCTGGAGTGGCACTCTGCTGAGGAAGGACAGTGGCAGGGGACGTGATTCCCGGCACCTTTGCCATGATCACACATCCTGCTCAGAGCCCTCAGGACTCCCCAGGGCAATCCCAGGATCCAGTCCCCATGACAACCAGGCCCTACCAGACCTGCCCCAGAGCCCTGGAGCACCTGCCCTGCCCCATTCCTCTCTTCAACATGAACCCAGGGCCGCAAGCTTTCCTCCTCTTCCAACAAGCCACGAATCTCRGTGCTGCTGCTTCTGGTATGATGTCCCCTAGATATCTGTGGCCTCCTCCTTCACCTCTGCCCAAGCCACTGCAGCCAAAATGCACCGGCACTTCCTCTGCCCTACCCCACACCGTGACCTCCATGAGATCCGCCATCATCTGAAATAGGAGCTATTTCACTCTCTGGTTGCTGTCGTCTGTTGTCCCTGCCCAGATATGACCTCCAGGAGGCCAGGGCCTTGTACCTAATGTCTGGGATAGACATTTTGTAAGGACCGAATATTTGTTGGATAAATTAATATAATATTCATTTATCCAACAAATTATTATAATATAATAATTAAAATATTAAAAAAATAAATCCATAAAATCTGATGATAAACTTCTCAAAAAAATAGACCAAGTTTGATTGTTTTTGTTTCTTCAGCCTCTAATGCCAGGATTGATAGGTAGCTATTGAAGCAGCAAATAAAGGAATGGCCATGTGTGGAGGCCTGGTGCCAGGGAGGGCGGCCGGGTGACGAGGAGGACTGGCACTCCTCCGTGGAGCTCGAGGCAGGCCCGGCCCCACCCTCACGCTGGCCTGGGGGACAAGCTGGCACCTGCTGGGGTTGGGTGGTCTCGGTGGCACACGTGGCCATCGCTGGCGCCCCCAGATGGAGCACAAATGCCCAGTGGCTTTATCGTCCTGACGGGATAAGAATTCCTAGAAGGTATTTCCTTTAGGAAAGGTCTTCACATAAAGGGGAGCGTCTGGCCTCTGGCTGGGTAATTAGGAGCTGAAGTCATGCTCAGGGCCACTTAAAAGGCAATTCCCACTTGTTAGTAGATTTAAGCTCAGACCCGAGCCGACGATGATATTGATGGTCTCCATCTGGGTGTGAGGGAGGGAGGCACGTGGCTTTTTCMGCAGAACTGCTAGAGCTTATTAATTTGCAAGGATCCCCCAATTAGTCCAACTCGTTAATCTCCAGATTTGCCTGGTGCAGGAATCCTCCAGGCTGAAGGGTCCAGGRCCTGAAAGGGTTATTTCATTCTCTGCACGAACTTGGCTCTTGTGCCCGAGCTGGTCTGCTGGGATTCCAGGGAGTTTTCCGGGGGCAGCACAAGCAGGGCACATCTTGATCCACCCTGAGGGACTGCAGCTGACCCCAAGGAGCCCCAGACAAAACAGGGTCGAGCTCTGTGCCTGGCCAACTGCTTCCCACCAAGCACCTGCAGGTGGCACCATGCTACCTCGCTGCCACCTGCTGTCCCCACCCTGTCCTCTCCAGCGTGCCACCTACTGGGCAGAAACCACGGTGGCTGCCACCACCTGCAAAGTCACCTGCAACCTTTCCAGCACAGAGAAAGCTGAGGCACCTGTGATCACCTGCTTCCCTGCAGCTTAGAGGAAGAAATGGAGGCCTGAGGGCCCCTGAGCTGCCCCAGACACTCTCCTTGGGGACAGTCCATCCCGCAGCACATCCCAGTGACACACAGGGTCCTGAAGGGAGAAGCTTCTGGTCTCCTTTTTCAGGTAAGCTTCCATTTTTCATCAACATTTAGAAATAAAGGAAAAGTTTTCAATCTTTGGCAAAACAGCCCTCAGAATATTTAGTGTAACAGAGTAAAAGTGGGTATTTAGTGTAACAGAGTAAANGCGGGTATTTAGTGTAACAGAGTAAAAGTGGGTATTTAGTGTAACAGAGTAAAAGTGGGTATTTAGTGTAACAGAGTAAAAGTGGGACTGGGGTCAGATGGTCCCCTGACTTACTCTGATCCTGTTTCCACAGCTATGAAATTCACTTTCCTTTAATTCTGAAAATGCTGAGTTCCTACTGAAGAGCAGGCTCTAGCACTCATGTACCTTTTTACATTATCATTTTAGATTACTTAACTCGGTTCCCACTAGAACCTCATTGGTTGGGGTATGCACAGATGAGCAAACTGAGGCCTGAGTTTTCAAGGTCAAGAAAGTGGATGATGGAGTAGGAGTGTGAACTTGAGCTGTTGCCTCCAAGGACTGAGTTCCGAGGTCAGCCAGCCAACACCCTGCTTTCTAGGTGATGCGGATATAATGGTGTAGGAAGGAAGCTGGCTCCCGCCCTCATGGGGCTCACTCTCTAGTGAGGTCAACAGACATTATAACTGTGATAATAAGCAGCAGGAAGGGACGTCCTGAAGGAAAGAAACAAGGACACCTGACCGTGGCTCCTGCCCCCTCCTGGCCTGTGGACGCCACACCATCTGGGCTATGCAGGCTGAGATGAGTCTGTCGGAAGGAGTGAGGGTGGGGAGCACTTGAAGTGATGGGACCAACTTGTGCAAAGGAATGCAGAGACTGACCAAGTGGGCAGGGGGTGGGCAAGGAGGTGTTGGAGAAGTTGATGGACAAGGGCCATCCATGGAAATTCTAACCTGACTATTAACTATTTTTTGTCATAAGGGGAATGGCAATTTATTAAGGAGTCTGCATGGAAATCACTCCTTCAATGTGCCACGTGGGTTAAACCTGAAAAGGTTCTCAGAAGTCGCACAGTGCTACGGTATCGGTGGTTTTAACTAAAGCAGGTCTAGGTCACTCTTCTGCCTGACTTCGTATTATCCTGATGTCACCCTTTGGCATTCTGGGATTGTGACCCTGCTGATCAATCAGATGACAACCAGAGTCAGGAGCCCAAGTAAGGTGATCCTCTTGGAATCTGGCAGCCTACTCTTCCAGCACGGGTCGATGTCTGCGTCGATGATAGGCCAAAGCCATCAGGTAGATTCTACCTGATAGATACTGATGATTGATCGGATCACTTTAACTAGTGTGGAGCCCTGCAGAAGGGTGACCAGGCTGAGGGAATTCTAGGTGTGTGGGGTGAGAAAACCTGAGAGCAGGAGATCGTCGGGAGCGTCCTATGAGTGATGCATGCTGACAAACAGACCAAATCTTCCCAATTGCCAGGGCCAACCCTGGTGTTTGTGTGTGTGTGTGTGTGTGTGCGCGCGCGCGTGCGGGTATGAGATCATGCATGTGTCTCAGGGAGGTGGGCTTGTACTGAAGAGGGACAAGTCTAACTGAGAACTGAGCTACAAGCACTTGCAAAGGGAGGGAGGGTGGGGGCGGGGGAGGGGGGATGTAAGGATGACTTGACCTGCGGCCTTGCTCCGCTGCGGTTCAGAACATCAGACTCACAGAGAGTAAGAGGAGGCCCGCGGGCACCTTCAGGCTGCAGGTTCCAGGCACGTACCTAAGCACCGGGCGCCGGGGCCTCCTCAGTGCCTCCTGGGCCTCCCTRGCCCTGGCCTGGGGGATGATGGCGTATAGCATGGCGCAGGGCAGAGGCTGAGGAGGCACGCTGGGAAGTYGGGCATCTGCTGGGCCTTGCTGTCTTCCCCTTCCCACGACCACCCCTTCAGGTGGTTCTGCAGGACACCTGTGGCCCCATCACATCAGGGGGGTCTCTGGGCATGCCTTGTGGACGATGCTGACCTTGGTCTCTTACCTTGGGCTTTGACATCGTCCACCACGGGACACGGGGTCTTCACGATCACGTCGCTGGGCCTGGAGCGCCGGCCCGTGTTGTCCACGCCCCACAGGGTAAACCTGGCAGGGAGGCGGAGCAGCGTTAGCAGAGGACACAGGCCGGGGTGGGGGCTCTGAGCCCTGGTGGGGCCCAGCCTCTCCTGAAGGGCAGGTTGTGACCCCAGCTGCGGTTGCCATCTCGAGGCCACCTACCGCCATCACTCAGGCCAGAAGCACCCAGCCCACGGCCTCTCACTGCTTCCTGTGGCCTGGGACTGGAATCTGCTGTCCCAGTGCATTACCTGTGGACAGCACCCTGGTGTGGGCCCTGCTGTCCGCGTGAGGCCCGGACCAGCAGCCTCAGCATCCTGGGGGAGCTTTCTTGGCCTCACCCCAGACCTACTGAATCAGGCCGGGACCAGAAACCTGTGCTTTACCAGGCCTTCCAGCTCTTCTCTCTTCTATTTAGTTTTTTTTTTTTTTTTCTTTTCCTTCCTTTTTTATTTATTTTTTTTTTCCATTTTTTAACATGGAGTCTCTCTATGTTGCTCAGACTGGTGTTGAACTCCCGGGCTCCAGTGATCCTCCCACCTTGGCCTCCGAGTAGAGGACCTACAGACCGGCTCCATCACCTCTGCCTCCCTTCCAGGGGATTCCGGTGCGGGTTTAATTGTGTCAACTACTGAGCAGGAGAGTTTATGTCTTTGGAAACAGATGGTCAGAACTTGGCCACGTGGAGTCACAGTAACTCCTTGAGCTTTAATTCTCCGTATCTGAGAAGTGAGATGATAATAAGATCAGTGGCTTCAGTGTGAGATGAGATGATAATGCACAGAAAGACCTGGGACATGACATGGTGACATGACATGAACCCTCTCTGCTCCGCTCTGCACCGCGCTGCACACCCTGACACTTCCATGCAGGAACCAAGGACAGATTCTGTCTTTAAAGTCAGAAGCAAAACAGCCAGAGTGGAGGGTCCCTTGGCTTGCTGGTGGCTGGACCCTGCGTGGCCCTTATGCAGCTCTCTCTGCCCCAATGAGCCGCTGCCCGCTGTGGGCCAGGAACCCATGAACTCAGAGGGAGGCTGTGCCCCGACAACGCGAAGACGTGTTCCAATGAAACCTCCAGAGCAGTGTGGGGACTTGGCCATCAGAGACTCACACAGAGCTGCCTGACCCGTGATGGAGCTGGACGGAGAGGAGAGGGAAGAGCCCAGGGCCTGCGACTCGGAGGCTTTTCAACGTACCCAGAGAATAAAGCCTGGTGTTTCCCAGGGCCTCCAGAGGTCGGGGGTCTACAGGACGTCAGGAGGGCTGCCCTCTTTGCCTRTTTCCCTCCACTGTGGCCACAGGAGGCTGGGTTTATTGGCAAATGTGGGCTTTTATTCCCCCTGGCAGAATTACAGGGAGGGACAGAGGTGAAAGGAGGAGAGATGTCACCAGGTGGCGTGGCCCAGGTAAACGATAGCTGGGCCCCAGAGTTGACCTGGTGAAGGTGACCTAAAGACTCTCAGGAAAGACGTGTTCCTCACGACCACCACTCCCTCTCCATAAAGAGACCCGGAGAATGGTCGGAGCCAGGACCCGTGTGCCGGGAGATGTCATTCGTCCTCTTCTACCTCCCAGAACCCCCACACGGGCATCCCAGGGACTCCCGAGCGGGCTCCAGCAACCCTGCAGGTGGTGACCCRCCTGGGTCCAGCTCAGTACAGCCCACACCACAGCTGCTGGATTCCTAAAGGACTCCCCGCCCCCTCACTGACCAATCAGGACCAAGCACTGTCTGCAAGGGCTCACTTCAGTCCCCTGGCCTGTGCTCCTATGCTGTGGTCCATGGTCTCACCTAGCACCGACCTCCACCTTGACCCGTGAACTGGGGGTCCTGCCGCCCTCCCTCCTGCCACCAGCCACACGCTTCCCAGGGACAGTGCTGGGCTAGCCCTGGCCGCCATGGCCTTGCCTCTCATGCATCCTCAGCATCTTGGTCCTGTTTCTAGAATTACGAGTGAGGACACCAAACCCAGGAGCCGGTGCCCTGATCAGACTTGCCTGGCACCAGCTCCACTCAGAGTCCAACCTCACACCTGGTCTTGGAGCACATGCCCGTTCTCTCTCTGCACACTTGTTCCAGGCCACCTTTAGCAGAGCTTCCCAGGGCTGGACCCAGCTCGTGGTCCGGATCCCATGCTGAGAAGTTCCCAGGGGCCCTTACGAAGTACAGGAAGGCACAAAGTCCAAGGATCCAGTGTGGCACAAACCTGGAGAGAAGCCTCCTCTAGGGAGGGAGGGAGCCCCTTTCTCACTTCTGAGATTCTGACCAGGGCCCCTGGTGTGGGGGGAGTTGGTCTCCTGCCCAGGGGTGGGTGGCTCGACCTTTGTTGTGGAAGCTTCCCTGACCCTGCAGTTGTTCTTCTCGGAACCAGGAGGCCTGAAGCCCTGCCTCCCCAGGCTGCTGCCCCGGGGCTGGCATGGCCCTGGGCTAGGGCAGGAACCTGTTGGGCTCTCTTGGTTCYACCAGCCGCGTTCTCCCTGATTTATGGCTGAGGTCCAACATACCTTGGGCCCCTGCGATCCAGTCCTGCTTTTCTTTGCTTTTTCTCCTTCCAGGGCCCTGAGCATGGCCTTGGAGCTCCAGGTCAGGGCTGCAGTCTGGTCATCCTCTAGCAGGCTCACCTTGTGGCCCACCACGTCAATCCTAGTCCCACAATTTCAGGCAGATTCCCTGGCCCATGGTGGAAAACGTCCTTAGCCTCAGGTACCGACTTGGCTGCCCGATGAAGCCTCACTTGGTGTCTGGCTGGACTCACTTCCCAACTCCAAGCTCGCCCCGATCCTCTGGGCAGCTCCACGTTATACCTTGCCTGACTGTAAATTCCAGTTGGAACGAAAGCACCTGTGCTTACACTAATTCTCACATGACTCTGGGCAATGATTGTAAAAATTAGGTTCCCGAGCTCTAAACCACTTTTATTTTTAAGCATATTTTATTTTTAATATGAAGCAAAGACTAGGGAGGAAATGCTCCGTGCAACCTTCCCAGTGAAGACGTAGCTGGGCCTGAGGACCCTCCCTGGCAGCCCAGCTCCTGGGGCCCTGGGGATCCTGAGGAGCCGCCAGCTGGTTGTGCTGGTGAGGGCCGGGAGCACACGGCACATTTTCAAGTGGAAACGCCACGTGCTGTCATTTCAGGAAGGCTGCTCTGTTTATTGTTAGCATTATCGTTTCTACCATTGAACACTCGCAGGACAGTAAGAGGGTTAGCGGGGATTACTGGGTAGAAGAGATAAGCCTTGCTCCCAATCCAGGGGGCTCAAGTGTAAGTCCATTTACTGCTTCGTCTGAAGCTTCTGGCTCCTGCCATGGCCGCGGGGCTGGGACTGTTCCGTGCGTAGTTAGAGTTGTGGTGATGACACTGGTGAGGGTGTGTGCGTGCGGCACTGGCTGGTTTGGCTCCAGAGCTGGCTCTGAGAGGCCTGGAACTTCATGCGCAGGGTAATCGCAGGCCTCCAGTCGGGCTGCTTGCCTGCTTTCCTTCTCCAGGCCTGGTGTCTGCGGATCCCATTCCTGAATGATCTGTCTGCTGCCACGTGTCCAGAAGGCAGAGGCTCCCCTGTGGGTGGGTGTGGTGATGAGGGGACAGTGGGCTGGACGCCTGGGGGCCACCTTCCCATTCTGTAAGGGGAACGGGTTGGACGGACTCACTTTAGGATTCCTCTCAACCCGAGGTTCTTAACCGTGTTTGTGCCGGGGACATTCTCAGAATAGGGCTTTTTTAAATGCACTAAATAAAATACATCAGAGGACTAAGGAAGCCGGCTGGAGGCAGCTTTCCCTCTGTGGCCCTCGAAGCCAGCTCTTGCCCTTGTGTGCCACAGTCAGACCGTGCTGCTAGGTCCCCACTGTAACCTGGGCGGCTGGGGTCAGACACAGCGTGGGAAAAAACCCCAGACCCTGGTCCAATTCCTATCCATCGTCCACACCCCAGATAACTAGCTGCGTGATTCTGAGGATGTTACTCAGTTTTGCTCGACCGGTTTTCTCAACTCTAAAATGGGAATAACTCCAAGCTCACAGGGACAAAGAGGATTCCCAGACACACCCAGGAGAAAGCAGCCGGTCAGCTCCCCTGCAGCTGCCTTCCTCCTGTTCTACAGGTAAGAACGCTCCCTTGCAGAAAGCTTAAGGCTCTTACAGTCCCTTGGTGGCTAGAAACAAAACCAGGCTTGGGGCCCCACGTGTTCCCAACTCCTCTTCCAGGCTCTCTCCCTGTCCCCGGGCCTGAAGCACAGGCTTCCCAGCATCTTTGAGAAGGGGGAGTCACTCCCAGGCCACCCACCTCACCCTCTCTCCGTGATCTGCAGCGCCACCTTGTGGAGGCCGGCGGTTCCTCCCTTAACCCCAGGCAGGCAGGGTCTCCTTCAATCATCAACATTGACAGAAAGTTTGTGTCTCCTAAGACACAGGAGGGGAGCACTAGGGGGTCACCAAGGAGAGTAGAGTGAGGACAGGAGGGGCCTGTGACCTCTGATCAGGAAACAAAGCCAAATCGGGCCGACATGAGTTACATCCCTGATTGGGTAAAGCCTGGCACTCCTGACTGTGCCAACCTCCTGCTCGTTACAACCGGGAAATCCCTAGCCAACAGTGGGCCGGAGCCCCTGAGCCCTTCTCACAAAGGGTCATGCGAGTTTCCCTGAGTCCGGGAGGTTTGGCAGGGCTGGTGGTGTGAGTTCTCAGATCCTCCTGGTTTCCCAGGAGGGAAGGACCACAGCTGCCCAGTACCAGAGCAGGAATGAGGACTGTCCACCATCAMTTGAAGAGCAGGCTGCCTCCCCTGGTCTTAGTACTGTCACCTACACCTGCACACACGTCCCCATCCCCCAGACGTCCCTGGTCCCCAGGTGTTTTGCTTTCTCTACGCAGGGCCTCCACTTCCGGCTCYTACTAGTGCACGGAGGTATTCAGCCAGAGCAGTAAGCTCGCGGCCATCAGTGCCACTCGAATCCCCAGCACTTTCGTCTTTGAACTCCCTCACTGTGGAAATGGAAATGATTGATTCTGGAAACCCTGACTCTCTTCCTGTGACCTCATCTGTAAACTGTGAAATGCTTCTCATACCGATGGGGAAAAGGCCCCAGCACCGCATCACTGTGAGTTCTGCCTTCGCCCCCAGAGTTTTCCATCATGACTTAGATTCTACCACCATCTCTCCTCTTTTGGCGTCTTTGACGCCTCTGCTTCACAAATATTGTCCGATTGTTCCGAGAGCACAGGGAATAGGGTTGTTCCAAGTGCCGCGGCATCATTCACGGTACTTTCTTTGAAGAAAAATGCCGGCCAGTGCTAAGTTCTATAAATTATCTCAGTGCCCCTAATGCTAGCTTTCTAAAGCACAGTTCTTGATGTTCTTTCCTCAAAAAACAAACAAACAAAAAATCAATGTTCTCCTCTGACGTCCGGTGTTCACCAATTCTGTCTGCCTCAGTGTCTTCCGTTGCCTCTTACTCAGGTGCCCGCTGCCCCTTTGGTCCACTCGCTGCTTTCCTCCAGGCCCCTTCATGCCCCTTGGCCTCTGCCCTCGCTGTGTCCTCAGCCTGTGTTCCCTTCTCCGTGCTTCTCCGGCTGTGGACGTCTAAGGACCTGGGTGGAGGCCATCGGCTCTGGTTGGGAGGAATGGCTTCCCTCTTTTTTCTTCAGTGTGTTCCTTGCTCTCCTTTCAAACATTTAGCCATTCCACCTTATGTTCAAATCCGTTGTTGATATCTTTGTCCTCTACCTTGCCACCCCCAGGAGGGACAGGATGGTTGTCTTCCTAGATCCTACTCGTGCCTAAGCATTCAAGAAGGTTCTCTCTAATGGCTCCTTAGGAACAAGACTTCAGAGGCTCCAAATCTTTTGCCAAGACTCTAAAGGAACCCAAGCAGCTAAGGGGGACCAGTAAAGAGCCTTGAACATTTCAGGCAAAGAATCTCCAGGCAGGGGTGGGTTACTCACATGTAAATGGTGTCGGGTTCCAGGCATCGAATGATGAGCGAGATGGTGGTGAGCTGCTTGTCTGGCACTTGAGATGGCATGGCACATGGGGACTTTGCTCCAGAGATGATGTCGTCCACGAAACTCAACACTGTTTCTATCCAGAGGGAAAGAATTGGAAAAGCCGTGAGAAACTGATGGCCAAACAATGACAAGATATAATCAACTCAATGAGAACTTATTAAAATCGGTCAATCCCAATCTCCTTAAATTCCTAGTTTTTTTTTTTTTTTTTAAAGGGGGGTGAGGAGAGACCCAGAGGATTTTTTTAAAACTGTTTCTTATTTAGCCAGTTTAGACCTATTCTTCCTGAGCTGGTTCAGAAACAACCTAGGTAAAATGGACAGACAATATCTGTGAACTCTGTCATGAGACATTCTTGGAGTGGACGAAGCCAAGCTACTTTGGCCGGTGGGTCACTGCCGTGCCTCAGTGATACCTGTGTACCCCAGAAGAAGAACCTCAGGAGAAGCTGTAGACCACTCCCCAGGCCTGAAGGCAGTCACCTGGGGAACCCATATGTGTCTCAGTGGCCAGTTCACCAGAATCTATTTACCCTGATGGTGGACACGGCCATCCTGATGGGGGACGGCATCTCAGCATGAGTCTCAGAGATGGTGTTGACCATTTCCTCTGCATAGACAGGGAGATAACAAGGCCTGGGACATTTTTCATGGTGCATTTCCATTCCTTTAAGGCTTCCCTCTCTCCGCTGGACCCAACAAAAACAGAGTTTGCTTTAGGACAAAACCCGGAGCCAGCGCATCTGTTTGCACATGCTTTCGCCTGGAGGGGGTTATTAGCAAAGAAAATTTTTTTTTTTTCTGTAATCATGAGAGTGGTTAGCAGAGAATTGTTTCCTAATTGTGGGAGAGGATAACTAGCATACTGTATTGCTGTTTCTTTGTGAGTGGGCCTAGAGGCAATGAAATGGACACCTCTTTCATAAACAAAAAGAGAGGCAAAATCAAAACAAGACTCTTGGATGCTCACCACGCAAAGACTCTTAAATGGACGAGACAGGCTGCTGCTTGGAAGAGACAGGAGCTGCAGCTTCCCTGTCCTCCCACACTGCTCTGGGTCCTGGGGACGGGGCAGAGCCGGAGCTGGGTGTCCTTCTTTTGTTTTATTTTTACCTTAGATGTAAACTAGTCCACGTGCAGGGCACGCTCACCTGTCTCCACTTTGGAGTGGTCCATCCTGTCGGTGACCTTCTCTTGACGGAGGAGGTAGTCCACAATCTGCACCCCGATTGGTGGCTCTGAGTGTTCCCACTCCAGGACCACGAGGGTGCTGCTGGGCTCATGAACCGTGGAGAGTCTCAGCCTATGTGCAGACAGGAGGGGACATGAGATGGGGACCCAGCTCAGACCTGCCCTGGCCACTGGGCACCTTCTCAACTGGTACATGGTATACTCTTCCTTTTTCGTTTTTCTAAAATATTTATTTTTTAGTTGTAGTTGGACACAATACCTTTATTTTATTTATTTATTTTTATGTGGTGCTGAGGATTGAACTCAGGGCCTGGCACGTGCTAGGCGAGTGCTCTACGGCTGAGCCACAACCCCAGCTCTTCTTGCTTAAGCTACTAAAATGACTTCCCTGGAGGCCCCTCTCTTTCACTAGACAGTCCGTTTCTTCAAGATCCTTGATATATGATTTATGCCTCTAAGCACCTGTTACAGATTAGGAACTCAATGAACATTTGTAAGTAAATAAACAGACAAATAAAAATAAATGAATGAATGTTACATGGGTAGGGGTASTTTGGGAAAATTCTCAGGATCCAGTGGTCTAAAAAGAAGAGGGGAATCGGAAGCAGGAGGGAAACCTGAGTCCCTATAAAGCCCTTATAAAGGTATGCCTTTATATGGCTTGAAAATACAATTTATGGATTTCTTTTGAGAAATTTTAAGACAATGTGTGTCCTCCTGAAGGTGGTGACCAAGGGAACCTTGCATTAACAAGGCCACACTTAGTTTAGGTTCTGTAGCTCACTGGGATCTGTCCTGTCGTCCTTGACCCCCCTCCTGCTTCTTCCCCATCTTCCACCGGCTGCTTGGAAGTGGTGCCCATGGAGGGCTTCAGAGGGTGTGAGGACGCTGTCCAGTTCTCCCTGGCCACTGTCCTAAACCTGCCTGTTCAGTTCTGGTTCGTTTTGCCTTTGCTCTGGGGTTTCTGTGAACCTGATGCTATCATTCCAGCATCTACTTGTTTTTCTCAATTTGAAATCTCATTCTTTGCGAGTTGTCCACTTTGGCCACGGCTCTGCCTTGCCATCTCTTACCTCCTTGTACCTCGTAGAGCCTCAGTAATCATTGTTGACGTTCACTGGTGTGGACCTCCTGATTGTCCGAGTGGTTTCAATTCACTGCCTTGTTCTGACTTCTTCTAGGGGTCTCAGGTTTCCCTTCTGCTTCCAATTCCCCACTTCTTTCTAGACCACTGGATCCTGAGAATTTTCCAAGCTCCTGCTCTCTCCAGCCTCCCCCCCCCCCCCCGCCGACCCTAACTATTATCCCTGCCACTCACTCCTGTCCTCGGTTTCTGAATCCCACAACCATCTGCGATTCAGGCCCTCCTGCCCGCCACTCAGCTCCCAGATGACTCTCATTGCTCTCGGGGACCACTGGGCAAGACACTGTGGATCACCTCAAACCATCTGCAATGTTCTATTTTAATTCAGTAAATATTTATGAAATACCTGTTCCTTGTAAGGAAGTGCTGGATCCTAGGAACACAGTGGCCCTAGCCCCTACTTTTATGTAGCTTAGTGGGTAATAGAAATATACAATTATACATGTGCTAAAAACTTCAACAAGAAATCATAGGACACTGTGGGAGCAATAGTAAGGGGTTTAGCTAGTGGGAAAATAATTGAAAACACATGTTCTCCTGCTAGTGGCTACTATGAAGGAGCACATAGTTTGCATATGACATTAGGATGGAATAAACCCAAAACAGTGCGGATATTGACAAATTCATTAATTAGAGTCATATGCCGAATGCTATTTTGAAGAAAAAGCGCTAGGCAGCTTAAGTAACTAACTAAGCCTTCTGAGAACTCAAATTCTGTGAAAATATGGACTAAGACCAGCCCCTATTGAGAAATAGAAGTGTGTGCGATTTACACAGACTTGTGTAAAATTAGAGTGTTTCTATTTCCAACTACCAAGTAAAATGCAAGAAACTAATGTTTATAACTGAAAGAAGTGATCAGAGTTGACAAGAAAAATGAGGTACCTAATAGACATTTCCTGTTTATGATATTTTAACCCAACCTGCTCTTTAGCTATGATAGTTAGTAAACGCAGGTTTAGAGAGGAAGCCAGCCTGGGGCCACTGGTTGGGCCTGTGTCTACTTGATAGCTTTGCTGGCTTCAGTGGGACCTTCCAAAGGTGGCTTTCTACCTGGTAAGTCAGTCCAACAGCCTGAGATTCTGATGCACCCTTTCTCCTGAGTGAAAGAACTTGGACTACTAATGAACTTGGTTCTCCTTTGACTCCAGAAGTCCAAGTTGTGATACAAAGAGCAAGAAGCCAGTGCTGGGGGAATCTAAAACCACCCACAGAGAGAAGGAAGACACTGGCTTGGAATGACACTCTACCAACATCTTCTCCTCTTTCCATTTTCTTTTTGCTCAGTCCTGGGCCTTTAATGTCCACCTCACTCCATGAAATAGGCCTGGCCTCCACCTCCTGCCTCCTGCTTCTGCTTACTCAGCCCTCAGTTACCACGGGTCCTACTAGCTTTGGGATTCCTTGCTTTACCAACCCATGGGGTCTTGTCCCACCATTGTGTCCTACCAGCACTTTCTTTTGGATGCATATTCTGTGGCTTCACCAGCATGGCAGATGCCCTAACAGAGGCTAAGCAGAGTCCTGCCTTGGGCCCTGGCCCCTCGGCTTGCCTTGTTCTGTTTAGTCTTCCCTGGATGGGGAGGATATTGGACATGTTCATTCTCAGGCACTTCTGTAGCACCTTCTCCTCGTCACCCCTCAAATGCAGATACCCTTTAATGCTCATCCCCAACCCTCTGCTCCTCACAGTTAATACTTGCTCCAGAGCATCCTTCCACAGAGCTGTGGGCCCATCTCCTATGTGGGGGGATTGGCAGGCATCTGGTTATCTCTAGTTTACTTTTTCCACAGAGCTCCATCCTTCTCTGCCCACTGACCATCTGCAGGACCACCCCCCATCCACCCTCCCCTCCCATGCACAGCTCCAGGCAAGCCCAAATAGAATTGGCCTCCACAGACCCACATAGCTTTGTTGCTTCTCTCTTTCCAGCCAGCCAGGTCTTAAGCCTGAAGGTCACTCTCAGCTTCTCCTTCCTCCTCAGGTGCACAGTCACCAGACCCTGTTATTTCTACTCAAATCATCTATCAGTTTTGTCTTCTCCTATTATAACGGATGATGTTATGGCTTATATATTAGGTTTATATATGAGCTCATGTGTGAGACAATGCAAGAATTTTCACAGGTGAAATGGAATGGAAGGTGCAACATATCCAGTGGATTAAACCACTGATGTGGATTAACTGAGTGGTAATGATAGGCAGGTAGGGCATGGCTGGAGCAAGCAGGTGTCCCTTTGAGATTTATATCCGCCATGTCCTGAACAGCTTCCCTCCACCATGCCCTTCCACCGCGTTGTTCTGTCTCACCTTGGGCCCAGAGCTATGGAGTCAGCCAAGCATGGACAGGACATCTGGGACCATGTACCAAAATAAACTTTCCTCCCCTTTAAGTTTTTCTTCTCAGGTCTTTGGGTCACAGTGATGCAAACTGACAACAGCAGCTGAGAACACGGCTCTGGGTCACGGCCCTACTTCCTGCTCTATGACCTTGGAGAAGTTATCCAATCCACTTGAAGTTGTCTCCTAGTCTATTAAATGGGGAGGGGGTGAAGCAACATCTAAGTACTCTGCACAGTGCCAGGAGTGCAGTGAGTGCGTAATGGGTGGGAGTGTTGGTGGTCTATCAGATCTCACTGAAGACCTCTAACATCCTCCATTCAACAGCACTGTGACCCTACAACCTCTTAACCATCCTGCTGTTCTTTTTGCATATTCAAGGAGAAGTTCAAGTGCCACTTCTTCCATGAAGCCTTCACCATTGCCCAAATTTGGACTCCAGCCACTCCTCTTCACACTGTCTTGAAATGTCTGTAACACTTGTCACATTATCTCTGGTACGGTAACAGCTCCCTGAGAGCAGGTACCATGCCACCTGAGCACCCAGCCTATTGCTCTGTAAACAGTCAACATTCAGTACTTCTCTGCAGACTGATGCAGAGGCATGCACACAAGAGAGAGGTAGAGCGAGGGAACCGTACACAGGCTGTGGGAGCGGCGCGCAGGTGGGGAGTCCGTCAGCTCCGAAAGCGGTGGAGTCGCAGCGACACCAGTCCTCGATGACGTCTCCAGTGCCCGAGCACCAGAGGGAGCTCATGGTGGCCTCCTGTAAGAGCTGCACAAGAGAGCAGGGAGTGAGCACCGGGCAGCCAGGGCTGGGGCGTCAGGACCAGGAGATGGCGTATCAAGCCTCTGCGTCACCCAGACTGATCTCCAGAGAGCGCATGGTGTCACCATCACACCATTTTTTTTGTCTATAATTCTTATCTCAGGATAAGAAATTCTGGGGAGGCTGAGCCCTGGAGAACCTTGAGGTCCCCCTCCTTTAAGCATAACAGCTCCTCCCTGTGGTTGAGAGGTGTCACCTTGGAGGCAAGACGTGCTCCACCTCCATCTCCCTCCCAGCGGCTCCACCACTCAACCCACCAGCTCCAGGCTTCAGGAACAATGACATCTTTCAACATGTCTCTGGGTGCTGGCCTGCCCCACTCCTTCCTCTGCCCAGAGGCACTCTGCCTTTTCAAATACCTCCATCTGCATCCTCATTTGCCTGCCTCATCTTGCCCTGGTCTTCCCTTCCTGTTTCTTCAGCACACTTTGTAAACCACTTACAAAATGCATCAAATTCTGCCTTGAGCGGTGGTTGGGCATTAGGCAACTCTTTCTCAATAGACCATTAAGAGGGGGGAAGCCATGTCTCACAAAGGCTAAGAAGTACGCTTGGGTCAGTGTGTCCTGGGTGAGAACTCCAGCTTTGTCAGTCTCTGCCATGTGACCTGGGGCACCTACATGAAGGCAGTTTTCTCAGTGATAAGGTAGGATAAAAATAGCACTTTGCTCATAGGGGTTCTGTGACAATTAAGTGGAATAAYACTTGCCAAGTGAAATAACATAAGCACAGTACCGGGCACACATTAGTCAACATTGAATGCTATCAGTTGTTATTGTCTTTAAGTGACAGGGTGGAGTCTCAGGTAGAACCTGGTGACCGCCACAGAGCCCCGCACAATGGCCCTCACGGAGCTGATTACCATTCAGCTGTGGATAAAGTGAGACCACTGAGGTAACAGAACTCTGGAATAGGCAATTCCAGGGTGAAAAGGTGGATTCTGATGGGGTTCTGACCCCTTAGTGGAGGTCCTCACCCCCAGGTCAGGGTGAGCTGGGGGTGGCTGCTCCAGGCTGGCAGCAGAGCTCAGAGCTCTCCCTCTGGGCCCCTCTGCGTCTGCAGCTGCCCCTGCTCTGAGGACTCCCCGTTCCGCTCTCCACATCCACACCCAATCAGTAAACAGGGGAAATGAAGCCTAGCTGCCCTGCAAGAGTTTAGACCAAAAAACTCAAAAAGAAGAGAAGAGGAAGAAGAAGGAAGGGAGGAAGAAAGAAAGAAGAACCCTACGAAAAAACCCAAATACCTCAACCTGGAGCAGGAACCCACGTTCTATTCTTTCGGAGCGCAGTGTAGACGACCTTAGGTTGGAAGAGGTGGGAGCTTTTAGGGAACATCAATTCCTGATGATCACTTTTGTAGAGTTTGTAATTTATAAGGCCGTCTTTGGTGCTAACACTTTGGTAATCATGAAGAACAGTGGATGATTCTGAGAGTTAAAGAAGCTGGGTGACCTGCTGAGGGTCACCAGCTAGTGAGGGGGGCAGCACCCAGACCTGAGTTCAACATGACCTGCTGGATGGACATCAGAGGCTCTTGATTAATGCATCCACCAGGTGCTCACTTTGTGACGTGTCTAACTGAACCAAAACCAAATCAAAGGGTGCATGGTTGAAAACTAGGGAAAGAGACTTTCTTTGAGGTCAGCTGAATAACACATTGTGACTGCTGCCAGATAGAACCTTCAATCAACAATTCCTTGGTAAGCTCCTATGAAGGGCCGTTTCCTGTGTCAAGAGTTAAGGACAGGACGCAGGAGACACACAGGGCCCCGTCTGCGTGAATCTTACAGCCAGATGATGARCAAGCAAACTGAAGTTACGGAGATACCAGATGCTCACAGTTGAGGGGGRACTCCAGAGGAAAGGCAAGGCCCTGAGATGCGCATGGTACAGGAGGGAAAAGGAAGGGTGAGTCACCCYGTGGAGGGGTGTGGAAAGGTCTCTGTGAGAGGTGACATTTTTATCTGGGCTTGGAGGAATAGGTCAAAAGTCATCCTGCCACAATGCTGGAGTAGTGCCACAGGTAGAATAAAYAATATTAAGACGACTTGGGCCTGGATGAAACTTGAATTCTAAAATCAGCCTAATCTCTCTACAGAGACAGAGTAGGGGGATGCCAAGCAGCGAGAAGGAGATAGGGCTGGGTTACTAGGGCCACATGAGCTGAGGTAAGGAGGGGACTGTGTTTCAAGAGCGATGATAAGACATTAAAGTGTCTTAACAGGAGAGCATCGTGACCAGACTTTCCATCCAAAGGAGTGTGGAAAAACAAAAGTCCTTTCTTCAGATGCTTTAACTTTCTACCTTTGATTCCCACCACTCCATGAGAGTTTATGCTTTCTGAATCCTGGGTTAAAGTTAACTGTAAAAAGTTGAATGAGAGGACAAGAGAGAGGTCAAGGAGAATCCCTTTAGAAAAGGAAGAAAAAAGGAAATCACATTTTTCTTAGTTCYTACAAGCTGAGATGAGTTGCATGTTATCAAATTTAAATCTAAGTCCAGAAAATAAATTGGATTTTTCAGTGTTTTTTTGTGTTTCTCTAAGGGGAATAGCTGAACTTCCAAGCCATGTTCATCTATACGTTCACTTACACACTTATCCATCATTTATTCTTCCACTTAGCAGAGGGTCAACTCTGCACCAGCCACTGCTAGACATGCTTGTAGACGAAGCTTTTCTGTCCATCTAAACAGGAGTCAACAACTGTGTGAACAATTCTGCTGGCAGGTGATCCCTGCTCCTAGAGATGGACACACAGGCATTGGGCATTACATGAAGGGAAGGATACCTGAGTTGGAAGAGTAAGGGAGGATTCTGGGTGTTTGGGCTGAAACTTGATGTAATAGTAGGAGTCTGAGAAATGTGGGAGATGACATTCTTGGGACAGAGTTGGAAGTCTACAGGGCCAGACACACGATGGAAAACGTGTTGTGTTTGAGGGGGCATAAGGAGCTCAATTTTGAGCACGGCCTGTAAGGTACAGAGTAGGAACACCCTACCCATGCACGTGAAGACAAGCAGGATCATGGACTGACCTGTGGCATTGTGCTAAGGACTCCAGAATGCATTCTATCTGCAGAGCCATTCAATTATTTTGGTGCAATGTGGTCAGAAATCCATATTAAATAACAACTTTGGGTTACTATAATAAATGGCAGCCCAATACTTTAATAGATAGGCTGTGAGAAAGATCTCATTAAAAAGTATGATTTAAGAGACTATTGCTGCTCTTGGCAATGAAACAGACATTGGGAATGACAAGGAAAATCCAGGAAGCATCTCTAGACTCCAGTCTGGCAAGTTAAGGAAGAAAGTGACGTTCACTGAGATGGTAGCCAGCAGCTATGTGTTTGGAGCACAAGATGGTGAGCTCAAGTTTGTTGGGTTGGCCAAATGGTTTCACCATTGTGTTTCTTTATCACAATTATGGATTACACTGAAATATGGCATGAGATTATCTAGTCCAATAGAAGGARGACATAAAAACACACACTGAGTCACTAATGTCACGACTTAGCCCCCTCCAGTTCTCCTTAGCTTCTGATGCCGMGACTCCATTCTTTGGGAGGAAGAACAAACATGGAAAGAACACAAAGTAGAGAGGATGGCAGAGAGTCAGGTGACAACGAGAGCAGAAGAAACACACGGTGGGGACCAAACTCCAGCTGGGACCACCTTGTCAGTGTGTTTAGAAATCAAGGTGTTCAAATTATGGCCAGATGGAGGGCATCCCCACACTCTCTCTGAACATGGGGGTACCAAGGGCAGAAGGGATGATATTTGGCCTTTGAACGGGGGTTGCTGAGGACACGTTCTGTTCAGCACCTTCACTTTACTTGCAATCCTCCCAGAAAGTAGAGATGCATCCTCCTCTCACCAAGCTCTTCTCTATTGTGCAGCATTGTGCACCCTGATTCATAGGATGGTTCCGGTGAATTCTCTGACCCTACTGTTCCCAGGCAGGTGGCATAGGAACCCTTGAGCTGTCAGAGGTGGCAGCAYTGGGGAAGACAAAGTGGGGCAGGCAAGAGAGGCCTGGCACTGGGTGGAGTCCCTGCAGCTTTGAGTCTCCATGGTGACCTAAGCCCCTCCTCTCTTCCTTCAAGCCCCTCCTCTCCCCCACTCCTCTCCCCATAGCCACCTTGATCAGATTCAAAAGGAATGTGTAGGTCTTGGGAACAATTCTTCTTTTCCTTCCTGTGATGAAAAAAAAAATGTATTTTCAAACATTCAGTGAAATATCTGTGGCAGAGGCGCTAGGCGAGAAAACACTCACACTCACACACACACACACACACACACACACACAATCCTCCTGTTGGTCTGAGCAACACCTATGAAACAAACTGTGTCACAGCAGGTGTCTCTTCAAAGGGAGAAAAGAAAGCAATTATCACCCCACCTGGATGGGCACGTCTCCCAGCCAGGTAAGCAGCTGTGGCGCTGCCTGTGGTCCCACCCAGGGACTCCCTGCTTTGACTTGTGCTGGTGGGGCTGGTGGTGGTTGTGTGTCTGTTTGGATCACTCTGATCCGTATGTCCTTGAGGAGGTCAGAGGCCTACCTCCGCCCCCTTTCTCCTCCCCGTCTATTCATTTTCTCCTGACATCTTTGGAAAGGGAGACGCAGAGGCAAAGGAGGGTGACTGGGAAATGTCATGACCCAGCAGCATAATCACAGGCAGAAAGATCTGCAAAGATGTGGCGTTTTGTTCTTAGAGCCAGTGTGTCGGGCAGGAAACCAACCCCCTCCAGACCCAGGCTGCCAGAACCTTCCTCTGGGACCTGTGCCTGATAAGCTCCTTCCAGTCCAGACACAGCTGGTCCCAGGCTTGGGAATCAGYGAGGAGAGCTGCCCACCTCCTAGGTCCACCAGGGGGACAGAGCTGAGCCTCTTCCTCACCAACAGATAGGGGCCCTCCAGCCAATCTGACCTCTGTGAGTTCAGTCCTTGGGCTTCCCCATCTACTTACTTCCATTCAGCCCTTTTGGCTCAAAGACTCTACAAGTGCTCAGCTGTGACTCCTGAATCATATTTGCATGGGTGTTGTGGATGCATCGCTTTGACTTAATATGCCAACAGGCAAATCTAAGCAAATTAGGTCACTGGATTAGCTAAACAAAAAGCCCCCCCCCCACATCCCAGCGCTAGCATGGAGCTCTGCTGCACCCTGTCACTTCCCCGGGCTGCGCGGAAAGCCCTCTTTTGTTGGTGGTGCCTCCCAGAGCCCAGGGTCCCGGCCTCTTACCCTTTGGGTCTGGTTGTTGGTCACCAGTTCATAGATGGGGGCTGCTCTGGTCACCTCCAGCAGGACAGGTTCAACAGGCGTGTCAGGGCTGGATGTCACATGACACAAGGGGCAAGATGAGGGACATCGCCCTTTGCTCTGACACTCCATGCGGACTCCGGCTGCCATTCGCTTGGTGCCAGAGTCAGACAGGCTGGCGATGTATTCTGGGAACGTCAGCACCTTGGGGTCTCTTTCCCGCTCCTCCGACTCATCGGATGGGGAGTTGCCTGCCACACACAAAGTGAAAAGAAGCGGTGAGGGACGCAGGATAGCAAGGACAGCCGTGACCTCATGGCCCCTGAGTGCCCGGTCCAGTCCTCGAGAGACCAGAGAGTGCAGCTGAGAGGGGAAGTGTGTGATCCCGACATTCCACTTAATTTGGGGCACACACCCTCCCTGTGACACAGAGCTTCCAAGTGTGCGACCAGGTTGTTCTTTTCTGAGAATCATCAGTCCCAGAGGGACGCATCTCTAGGATACACTTCTGACCATCACCAGGAACACAGACAATGACAGCAATTGTTCCTTGACCCAGTTTCTTCACGTGTGCAGTGRAGATCCTGACCATACCTACTCTGGCTTTGTGGAGTGAATGAACCACACGGTGTTTGTAAAGCACACACCGCGGTGGCTGGCTCGTAGCAAATCCTCAGCCTAGTAGTTTTGATCCTAACTCTAGCTAAGGCTTATGGGTCCTGTGCTGGGAGGAGATGGGCTCCAGATCTCGTTCAGCCATGGCCTGCATGGGGTTCCCCATCAGACCCATTTTATAGAGGAGGGAAGTGAGACGAGTAACCCGGTTATCCTTGGATCTGGAATATTCCCCCAAAGACATGCCGGAAGACTCGGTCCCCAGTGCAGCCACATTCAGAGTGGGACTTTGGGGAAGTGATTGGATCATGAGGCTCTGACCCCATCAGTGAATTCATCCATTGATGGATTCATAGCTATTGAGACTATGGAGAGCTGACTATCGAGAGATGATAGAAACTGTAACAGGTGGAAACTAGTTGGAGTCCTTGGAGGTGAGCCTTCGGGGGCCACACCTAGTCCCTAGCCCCCTCTATTCCTCCTCCCTCTCTCTGCTTCCTGGCTTCCCTGAGCTGAGCAGTTTACTTCTGCCACATCTTCTTCCTCCATGATGTTCGGTCTGACCACAGGGCYCAGTGATGGGCGGAGTGGCCACAGACCAAAACCTCTGAAGACATGAGCCCCAATAAATCCTTCCTCCTTTAAGTTGTTTTTCTCAGGTGTGTAGCCTCCAGGACAGAAGGCTGGCTCGCAGACTTCAGGCCACACAGCTGAGGTACTGAGTGAGCTGGAACTGGTCTCTGCTCGTCTGATTCCAAGGATGAGCAGGACGGCTCTGCTTTATAATTAATCATGCATTTGAGAYGGGGAGGACATTTTGGCTTTTTCAAAAAGATCTGCACCCTTGTTTGATAAGTAGAAGGGAGTTAGAGAAGCTCTTTGTTGATTTTTGGTGACGAACCTGGGAATTGCCTATCAGAGAATGATGGTTTGTTCACCACACAAGAGAGCCCTGCTCCCAGTGATCCCTCCAGGTTCTCCATTCAACTCTGAGGGAGTCTGCTGGCAGAAAGCACAGGGCTCCTGAAGATTTCTGTCTCCTTTCAGCAGTTCCTGTCCCAATCAGGAAACAATTTCAGGGACCAGTGTGCTCCTAGAACAAGGGGCATGCCTAGAGCGTGGATTCTGGTCTTTGGCCTCATTGAGAACGCAAGACTGGATGGGCCAGATCCKTGGTGAAGTGGTTGGAAGGATTTGCAACGTGGTTCCAGAAGGTCATTGTGCGGTCTGACTCACCACCTTTATAGAGTCCTCTCCCAAGGGGACCAGGGAGCTCCTGTGCTACCCCCTCTCGTTTGCTGTTTAATGTGAGCCCATTTGGAAGCACAAGGCCTTGCATGAGGCATCCCATGCTGCTGCTTTTCAGATGAGCACCAGGAGAATGCTGGGCGGACCAGGCATCCTCACCCAGCAGCCCCACTGACATGGGACTTCCGCGTGAGGGCCAAGGACCACTCTGTGGCTATAAATACAGGACATAATTTATTTAGCATTTGCATTTGATAATAGGCCCAGAGTGGAGCTCGGGTCCTTCCAGGAGCATAAGCTGTACACACCCAACCAGAGAATGATGGTGTCCAATAGGAGGCCCAGAGGTCACTGCACCTCACCCAAAGCTCTTCCTCCACAGGCACATCTCTACCGACACTTAGGTCTGTGCCACTCGGTTGGCGTACGGCTGGGGGTGCCTGCAAGACTTTCCTGCTTGCTAGGTGTTCCTCAGTCTGCTATATGGACTACCAGGAATCAGCAGGGTGGAGCGAAGCCCTTGGACCCTTGGTCTGATATGGGCCAACAAGCCTTCATTCACTGGGAAAATGAATAAAATTTTTTAAATCAGTAAAGATGCAGTATCTCTGCAAAAAWTAATATTTTTGAAAAATTTCCCTGGAAGTTTTGCCAGAGAGCTGAAGGTCTCCCKGTTGGCTTTTAGGCCCCTTACAATCGGGCATTCCTTTCCAACCCATGGCCCTCCTTTGTTGAGAACCCCTTCCACTGAGGCTGGGAAAAAAATTTTCAAAAGTGCCACTAGATGGTGGTATCCAATCTCAAATGGCACTGGGAACCAAACTGTGTGAGCTGAGGTTTTGGCCTTACAGAAAATAAACTTAGAGAAAAGTAACACTCGGCTCTTTGGACAATTTTGTGCAATTACAATTTTTTTTTTCAATTGGATAATAAAAAATTAAGGAGTAAAACAATCACATACCACTTTCTTAGGGAGAAATATATAATGTGAAAAGGGAGATGATGACACAGTAACTATGGGAAAACAGAGCCTGCAAGAGAAAATGCAAATCTCCCTCAAAATTCTTACAGAGGGTAGAAGTTACTTCCACCAAGTTCCTTTTTTTCTCACCTTTGATAAAACGCCCAGGAACTCTCCTGACTGCTCCTTAGGACRCATCGTGCCAACAGTCAGACTGCCACTAGGGGGCACTGCGACCACAAGCACGGTGGGCCGCCAGGGATTGACACCTCCCTGCCCTCCAGCTCTCCATCATTAAGGCTTGTAATTGCTGCAAACATGAGGGGCTGCYCCCCTCACTGCTGTCTTCTGGCTATTCCAATTAACATCAAGATGCGGCTAATCCCTGTCAATACCCTTCAGCCCCAGATACTTGACAAGATTGGGGAGTGAAGAGGAGAGGGACGGGTGCAGACAAAGATGWTTGGGAGGCCACCGAACTCCTTTTAATTCAGAATCCTATTTTCCATCTCCTGGAAGTATTCAGGCCGAGACACAGGGCCCTGCTGGAGGGCGAGACCAACGATCCCCGTGGCCTCCTCATCACACGGGTTGGGGCAGGCAAGACAGGAGCTGGATTTGCACGGAAGCCATGAGCAGTGAGCTCCCCAAAGCCATCTATTCAGGTTCTGGAGAAGAATGAAGATGTGCGTGAGAGAGAGAGAGATTTTTCAAGTCGGAAACGCATTTTCTATGTGCAGTTAAAGATACAATTGGGAAATACTCCTTAAAATGATGGAGTCCAGTGGTGAAGGCCCAGATAAATCTCCCTCAGCCAGATAGAGCTCCTACACCCATCGTGTCTGGGAAAGAGAGTTTCTGGTCCTAAAAGCTTCAGGAGAGTCTGATCTTTGACACTTGCTGCCTTTTAGCTCCCCCCTGTGTGGGTTGGAGTGAGTAGAGAGGTTTGTGGGTACAGAGAGGCAGGGAGGAGAGGCCACCTCTTTCCATGGGGTCCACAGGGGCTCTCCCTCCAGTGCCGACTCCTCTTATAGTCCTCGCTATAACAGCTATGGGTAGAAATGCTCCAGGAATTTAAGACATCATGCTGTCTCTTAGTAAGATGAATATTCTATTTCAATAAGTACACAGTCTCTGGACATAAGAAATAAGTTAAAAGAGTAACATTTGCAGAGGTGCTTTCTGATAATGAATGCCCAGTACGTCCTCCTCCCACCGTTTGCCAGAATTCACCCCTATTGCTCTCAGAGGAGGCTCTCCAGTCCAGCTGTGACACTCGGCTTTCTTACAAGTAGAGGAACATCCAACCTGAAATGTAGTTAACAACCCTAAAACTGCAAAGCATTTTGCAAATACAGTTTGCTATAAATAAATGCCATTTGCTTTAGGCTAAATCTGTATCCTCCAGCACACAGTGGATGAATTTCCCCAATAGAATATCATGGTAGGAGAATATTGACGTCCTTAATGCCCAGAATCTCCTGTGTATGTGCCMATGGCCGTGAGCAGGTACATATTGACCTGCCCAGATCCAGGAGTGCGTGAGGATGGCTAAAGCGACCAAGCCACTCTCTTGCTCTGCTGGTGGGAATTGACAGGTCAGGAAGGCAAATTCCTTATTATGAAGTCAGCTGGTACAATTCCTGTGGGATTCTGGGCCTGCTTAAGAATCTCTCTCCTGAGCTGATGCCCACGGCAAAGCCATGCTAATGACATCACAGCTAGATCTACAGACGAGGCTCACTAGGCAGCAACGACAGCAAATGCAACTRATCAGATCACAGCCTCCAGAGGTGGCTTAGGACCCCCGGGAGGAAGGCTTGGCATGGGCACATGAGGTGCAGCCACAGAAAGTTGTCCCCTGAAGCCCCCATGCCCTGAGTCCCCAGCCCTACCCCAACCTTCACCCCAGCCTACCTACTCTTGAATCCGAATGCTCGTGTTACCTGAGTTCACGTCTCCTTCTGTCCGCCCACACACAACCAGCCTCTCTGGAGGTCAAGGTCACTCTGGACATTAAGTGAGCTCTTAAGCCTGMCTCGGTGACACACTCTGTGAGGCCCAGTGAAATGCAACATGATGGTTTAATAACTAGGGGAAAGAAGTCAGAGCAGGAACCACTCCTCTCTGTGAAAGAACGAGTAACCTGGGACCAGGAATGGTGGCTCCTTCACGTCCAATCTCTTTTGCCTCGTCTAGGTGTGTCTATCGTCTGTCTGCCTACCCTGTCTATCTGTCCACCTGGGTCTCTTCATCCACAGACAAACCAAAGTGGATAAGTCACAACCATGGGTTTAAATCATTACAAAATGTCACACATAAGAAACAAAGCAAAAGCACTGAGAAACAGCTCYCTGGCCTCTTCCTGATCCTGGTGACGCCCCAGCCTCTGTCGGTAGCCAGGAACACAGCCTTAATGTGCACGCA